AATTCAGTTCCCTGATTGGCCTCTGTGCGGTTGTACTCGAAGCATTTGGACTCTTTCCTATAGTGGCTATCAGTATCTGCCTAGCACAACATGTCCGAGCAGTATTAACCGCTCTCAATGTAAGGGAAGGAGATCAATTTTGCTCAGCACGTATCTGTCCTAGCTTGTGCTTGTGGCGCAATGGATCAAGTGTCCCGTGAGGAAGGGAGGAATAAAAAGAAGAGGGTAGAGGACATAGGGTAGAGGAAAGAGAGAAGAGAGAAGAGGGAAGAGGAGAACTTCGAGAGTAGGGGACTGGTCAGGTGCCTTCCATTTTAAGCAAGTACGTAAACAAAGCCTTCCTTGGAAGGTGCCAACTGAGGATAATGTCAATGCCAGGCCAATCTGAATACTAGATTTTCAATACATTAGCAGTGAGAGATAATCGACTTGTTCAATCCGTACATTGAGTTCAATAGCTTGACTAGAACCAATAAGTCCAAATGTGAGATTGGATGGCTATTAGGACCGTACCTACAAAATAGGATACTGCACGAACAGCATTCACTTACTCTCCGGGAGTGTATGTCACTCTGTGCTGAATACTATGTTCAGCATCTCCTTTTCAGCCTCGTTTATATTGACAAAGCCTCTCGTACTATCACAACTGGACATGATTTTACTATTGTTATTACATGTCTACTGTATAAGAGACGTCGAAGTGCATGGTTGTTTTAGATGAGATTTTTGCTAAAAGATATAGCTTATGATATTATATTATGGATGTCTTTGATGTCCATCTATGTACATATCAACCAGGGATTCTTATGAGGAGTAGCTGGAACGGTAATAATAAAATCTATAAAGAACATCTAAAGAAGACATTAGAATGTTTTCTTGAAGCCCCTAATGTATCTTAAGCCAAATAGATCAAGTTATCAAAGTCCCCGTTTCGGAAATAGCCAGTCAACTGTCTTCTGGCTTTGAGGCTAAACTAGAAAATGAGACTCGTATCAACCCAGCGTTTTCGATCACATAATGCTGAGCTACGTACGATGAGTTCGAATAAGGTCTACTGGATCACCTCGATTACGATTCCTACGAAGATGAGATCCGATGAAATCACACGTCGCCAACCTTGGAAGGACAAAGGCTGCATGAGCAGCCGACTATTGTTGTGTACATCTATGAGTCATGAAATAAACAATCGTAATTTGTAATTTGTATCTCAAAAGTATATCGTTGGATATCTCCTTAAACCTGAAGACCTTGCATCTTTTTGGTGGCATCATCGGCGCCCTTGGTAGCCTTCCCCTTGGCCTTGGTGGATGTGCTATCCTTGGGGAGCTCCTTGGTGTAAGGAAGGAACTCAGGAGCACCGGGAATGTATTTCCGCAGGACCTCTGGGACCTCGATACCCTAAATAATAGTTAGCTACTGTCAGAATCACCAGTGAATTGTGACACTTACATCTTCTCTCTGGTAGTTCTCAAGCACACAGCAGAGAGTACGCTCCGTTGCGCACAGAGTGGAGTTCAGCGCATGGACATAAGTCTTCTTGATATCGGTGGCCTTCTTCACGCCGTACCGGATCTCCAGAGCTCGGGACTGGTAATCGGTACAGTTGGAGCAAGAGACGAGCTCCTTGTACTCCTGCTGGAATGGGAACCAGGCCTCCAAGTCGTACTTCTTGGATGCTGCGTTGTTCAAGGCGCCGGAGACAATGGCGACAATGTTGTAAGGGAGTTTTAGGGACTTGTAGAATTCTTCCGAAGTGTTGATCATGTCCTCAAAGGCTTGCCATGAATCCTCGGGCTTTGTAAGAACAAACTGCTCGATCTGCATGGGGTTAGAATATGAAAATATAGGGCATTCGGGTCTATGCTAACCTTTTCGAATTGGTGAACACGGAAGATACCCCAGGCATCCTTTCCGTGAGATCCAGCCTCCTTGCGGTAGCATGTGCTGTAGCCGGCATACCTGTTTCTTGTATTAGCAAAAAAAAAAACGTAAATCCCGGACGACAAGGGAGCCTTACTTGATGGGCAGATCCTTGTCCTGGAGCCACTCGCTGTCGTGCAGAGCAGACAATGGTTGTTCGGAGGTAGCAATGAGGTACTTGTCGGTCGACTTATCCTCGCTCTCAGTAACCTTATACAATTCCTCGTCGAATTGCTCGAGCTGCGCAGTCTTTGCCATCAGATCCTTGAGCATGAATTGAGGAGGCTGGTTGGGCGTGTAGCCCTTGTTGAACAGGAACTCTAGACCATAGTTGACCAGAGCCAAGTTGAGGAAAAGACCGTAGCCAGTCAAGCAGTATCCACGGTGTCCAACAATCTTGACACCACGCTCTGGGTCATATCCATCAAGACGAGTCAACACTTCGTGGTGGGAGAGGCAACCTGGCTTCTGCATTTCGGCGTTCTCGGGGGTCCATGATCTGATCAGCTTGTTGTCTGCCTGTAGCCAGAAATTTACTTGTTAGTCTCATGGCGCATTCAATCCCCCGGTGAGTTGAAAGACCCATACCTCATCGTTGCTCACGGGTACGGATTCGTGGACGTAGTTTCCAATCGTGCGAATCTTTCGGTCGCGTTGAAGCTCCTTGGCGATAGCTGCCTCCTCAAGCTCCTTCTTCTTTGACTCAAGATCTGCCTTTTGTGCGAGCAACTCGGTTGCATCTTCCTTGTTCTGAGAACGGTAAGCATCCCTCCATACCCTAGATTGGCCAGGAAATGCCTACCTTCTTCTTCATTCCAATTGCCTTCTGAACTGCATTGATCTGAGAGCCAAACTGTGTGACCTCATAACGCGCTATATCCGTCAGTAAGGTCTCACCAGCCCTAGAAGAAAAGGATCCATACCGCGTCGGGCCTCTTCGTACAGCGCGACAACTTCATCAACGGTTTCCTCCGGAGCAAATCGCTTCTGCTGGCTCTCCTTGATCTTCTTGAGATCACCACCGCGCTCGGTAACAAAGTCGGCAAGGTCCAGCATATTGACGATTGGATTTTAAAGGTTCAGGGGAATCCAAGTGGTAGAGGGGTGACTCAAATTGTGGAGGGGTAAAAACGAGGAAAATCAAAGTGCGTGGATGCACGCACCTAGACCTCGAGGGGTCGCATTACTTAATCGATAAGGCGCTCCAGGGCTTACTTCCAAATAGGCTAGTTATGGCCACGGATGTTCCTATAGATCACTTTCATTTAATACTTCGCAAACTTATAGAAGCCTGTTCCAAGCCTGTTTCGATTGAGATTCATTACTCTATGCATGGTACTGATCCATGTTCCCTAGTTCGACCCTAAAACTCATTATTCATGCAATAACCCAATGTTCCACCAGAAAGACACAATAGACGAAGGAAATAGGGCCCAAGAGAAGAGGGCCTCGAGAAGAAGCCATCAAGTTGGTGTTATCAAGTTTGGCGTTGACGATCTCTGAGTCAATAATCGAGTCAGCAAACAAGACATCCATAGATCTGAATTGAGTGGACATCAAAAGAGCAAGGTATAGTATTGTCAGCTCCAATTAAAGAGATGTTTCGTGCTTCTTGACTCAGAGATTTAGGTATCCAGAGATGGCTTCTCTTACCATCTCCGGGAGAGAAACACACGCGTTCCAGTAGAAAGCTTCCGTATTACATCAAAGTGCACTTGTTGTTCCCAGTTGGTTGTGAGGGATTTTGTGACTTCTCAACCTCTCCTATCATGAGATCAAAGGCTTTCGAAACATTGAAATCAAGGAAAGCGCTAGCCTCGGTGAAAGCGCAGTTGAGCTCCTCCGCTAATTGCCGTCCATCATCGAGGGTAACTTGGCGGTGATCGGGCTTGAGATCACTCTTGTTTCCTACTATAACAAGAGGTACATCATCCGCTCCCTAGAGGAAAGATTAGATGCTGGTTCGTGGGTACTAGTCATAGGAAAGGCGGTGACTAACGAGATGGTTCAGAATCTTGTCGCGAATCACCCGCACCATGTCAAATGACTGGCGCGATGTCACTGAATAGACAATAATATATCCATGAATTCCAATGAAATGCTTGGAGTTCAAGATGCTATATTCGTCCTGTAGAATTGTCTCAGTAACCAAGCAGCAATCTTGCATGAGGATTACCTACCTGTCCTGCAGTGTCGACGATCTCAGTTGCATAGTCCTGCCCGTTGTGCTTGATAATCCGGCTGAATGTGTTCTCAATTGTAGGGTAATAGCTTTCCACGAAGTGGTGCTCCACAAAGCGGACCGTGAGAGATGATTTACCTATTAAATGAGCAAGTATTAGTTATTCGTAATTATAACGATTCGGGTTCTGAATAAGGGGCTCTCTTACCCACGGAACGACTGCCAACGATTGCGATCTTTCTTTGCTTAGGCGCGGAAGGCATCTTGCGCGGTGTGGTAAGACTCAGCTAAACCACCAATTTGAATGAGAGATGATGATGTTGATACGGTCAGGAAGGCGGTGTCTTTTGATTGATAAAATTGGATCGACCAGATATTCAAAAACAAAATGGGACCTGTTCAGAAACGAGGTCGTCGGGGGGTGGCAAATCCCTCGAAGCATGCGGAGCTCCAACTCCTTGTAACCTGCAAACAATGCAAACGGGTGGGTTCTCCAACTCCAGCCCTGGAGGGCTGAGGGCTCTATAAAAGTACGTAACCTATGTGTCGGTGACTAACTAGTTACGTTCTATGATCAGCGATTTGTAATTCTTTATAAAATGGACTGTATTGCTGAAATTACTAAATCTCACTTTTTTGAATTGAAGTCTGGTTTGACTTGAGGTCATTATTTTTATGACTATCTTAATCAGTGGTAGACATCTGCCCAGGTGGATATGAATGTGGACCATTCTAGCGTAAATGGTTCAATTAAAAGCGACAAGGAAGAGGGGTATCAAAAGCTGCCAATAGACCAAGAAATTCATGTCATCGAATCTAAAAAAAGAAATGCGGATAGAGAAGACCAAGCACGGACTTATCTGCCTCTAAGCGACACTTGTATAGCATGCAACACTCATCATTGCTCTGCCAGTCGAATCCGAGTGATAAGTTCTTGTAATCTTGACAGGAACCCACTCGCCGGTTGTCCCTGGGTTGGAAAAGTGGAGATTTCTTGTTCAATCTTCTGATGGTATTGCAGGAATTCATCAACGGTAGATATCACCACCGTCAATCCGTTGGGGGCGAGTGAGCTCTTGATTTTGGACCGAGTCTCAGGATCCAAACTGAGTGTTAGTAAAAGTACCGCTAGGTATCCCACAGCAACATTGTGGTGTACTTCTAAGACCGAGTGAGCCTAAGCAGATCTAGTAAGTCTAATGCGTCGATAAAAAAAAGGAACCCAAAAATATCAAAAACTTACCTTGGAGATGGAATCGACATGAGTCATGAATAAATGCAATAGTTGATCAAGGAAGGTCGCTGAAGAACCAGCAGAGTGAAGAAAAATTGATCTTGATGCTTCACTCTGTTCTGTCAGATTGATAAGTGCGCCGAGCGCCAATATCACGCTGTCCAGGGGATTATTCGCTTGTCCAAGCGCGTCTTCGGTCAAATCACCAAAGTTTGCAGAGACAATGTGGACCAGCCCCCCAACCATCTCCAGGGTTGCAAATCTATCACAGAGGGAAGGGCTGCTGTTGGTAATGTTTAAGATAAGCCGAATGTAGAGGGGTTGTATTTGGCTGACAGTGCCCGGCTCCAAACAGAGCAGCCTATGAAGTTCAGAGAGTGGGTCTAGGATATCCCAATGCTCTTTTGTGAGCGACTCAGCCAATGCAGTGGAAGCCTCCAAGATTGAAAAGCCCATGCACAGTATTTGAGAGCTCTCTGGGTGTATTTTTTCCAATGAAACACAACGTCGGCTTTCAGACACGAGCGCTTGGACCAACGGTTTTAGAAGAGGCGTAGAAAGGCTAGGGTTCTCGCCTTTGGTTCGCATTGTGGAAATAGTCGACCTCAGGCAATACAGCGCGAGAGTGCATGGGGATAGTTTCGACAATGCAATATTGGGAAATAGCATAGCAGCTATCTGTGGAATAGTGTTCTGAAGTGTCTTTTGCAAGGGCCGAGAAATGCCACTGGCTTGAGCTCTTGCAGCCACTGATATATCATCTTGCATGACCAATAAGGCGGGCGATGCATCTAGAAGCTTAGGCCATGCAGCAGTCGCAAGAACATAAGACATGTGTCCATCCGATGATCCCAGTGCGTAGGCACAGAAAGCCAGAATAGTGGGGACCACCTGAAGGTCCATGGACAGACAATCCACAAGCCTTTTGTCAAAATTGCATTCCACAAACCGCCGTTTAAGTTCAGGATCCAGAAGTTTGCCACACAGTTGGAGAAAGGCATTACATCGACCCGTCAACGAGTTTTGAGGATCTTCGATGTCCTCGAAGATAGATTCGACGGCACCTCGGTACCGAGCGTTTCCTCCGGCTTGTCTGAGTTCATGAATACTGCGAACAGATCCATCTTCGTTGGTATCCTCATTTGGCACAATTAAACGGGCACTGGATGTAGCCTCATAATTCAACTGACGTTGGACAGATTGAGAGCGGTGCTTCGGACCAGCGGAAGCATTGTGCGCTGAAGTATCCTCTGACATAATCATATCATCCAAAAAAGAACGTTGGCGTGCATACGTGACCCGGGAACCTCGTAAATTAGAGGGAACCGACGCAGGAGAGCCTTGGGTGTGGCTTTCGGCAGGACACTCATTCACAGCCGCACTTGGCGAAGCTCGGTCGGGAGGGGTTGGAGCCGGGGATGGCTGGCTATGAACGGGACTCTCTGGCGATATTTCAACCGGGTGTTCCGTGCTTCCGAGCGAGTCAATCAGTCTCCTTCGACCAGGGGTGATGTTCGCTTTAGTGGTGTAGCCTTGGTTGATGTCCGGCGAGCTGTTTTGCGCGAACTCTGCATCCTCCGGGCTCTCATCGATTGATACTCTCATTTCATGCTCGAGAGCAGATACCTTATTCTGGCTCCGCACAGACCTCCCCGCCCTTGTTGATCTCGCGGAGCTTGTCTCCTGGTCGGCTTCTGGCTTTTTGACCAATCGACTCCGGCCATCGGATACCCTCTTCTCCATTTGTGGTGACACTTTATGATCCCCATTCTCTGCCTTGCTTGGCTTCACGGATCGCCTAGTCGCAGGAACTGCCTTGCTTTCATCGGGGCTGTATCGCCTTCGCTTTCTCCGGACCATGGACATCTGTTCGTCATCTGAAGAGGGAAAGTCATACACATTAGGTTCTGTGGTGGGTTTTGGTTGTGCAAGGCCTCGAGCCTTGGTCGTTTCCACCGATCCAGACGGTTTTGTATCCCCATTATTGTCGCGCTGTAACTTGGTGTAGAATGGCCGTGAGAGACGTGATTTTGGCAAAGGCATTTCTTTGGGAGTCGTTCTAGCGGCTGATGAGCGCACAGGCTTTTCGGTATTCAATAGAGGTTGACTTTTGGCATTAGAGCCATAGGTCACGATTCGTCGATTCCGAGGGTGTGAGTTATCCATCTTCGGTTCACAAAGGGCACGAGACCAGGTGCACGTGCGTTGTTTGATTAATTCAACCGGGAGATTTGGTTCCCAAAGAGCAATTAAGGTGTGCTGAAGAGCAATTGGATTGATGGATTAAGTCAAACGGAGTCGTGTCTTGAGACGAAGACATGTCCTCGCGGAGTTCAATGGAGCTTACACATGCTCAAAGGGCGCGGCGCAGTCATCAAAGAAAACACTGGTGACTGGCAATGAGACGTGTAAATTACTGCAGGTTTCTTTGAGGTAATGAAAGTGATATCCGAGCTCCCGGAGATAGAGACAAGTGATAAGAGGCGGAGGGGGTGAGATGGGGCAGAATCACCCACTGCGGTATAGCTTCCACCCGAGATAGAAAAAAAAGATAAGAACAAAACCCTACATATACTTCCCCGCTCTTGGCTTTTTTTCAGACATTAGCTCACGGTGCTTTTCTACCCCTCTCAGGCCTCTTCTACTTCACAGGTACTTCAAACTGATATCTTAGATACTTTCGGTGTTTCCATATTAACAACTTCTTTTTTTTAAACTCTCCAGTACGGCCCACACAAACACACACACACATACATCTTTGGACTTGGCAAAATTATGGCTAGCAAATCAGAGACAGGCCCTTCTCCTGCGCAGGGTGTTGGTCCTCTGTATCGTCCCGATGGTGAGAAGCCCACTGCGACAGTCTCAAAGGAAGTCTCCTATGAGAATGTCCACGTGCTACCTCAAACACCCCAGTTGATTGCTCTCTTGACGTGAGGACCCATTCTCTGCATTTAAGGTTACCCTAAACTCATGTTTTGTACCACAAATAGGATGATCAGAGACAAGAGAACGAGCCGTGCCGATTTCATCTTCTATTCTAACCGCATCATTCGGTTGCTGGTGGAGGAAGGCTTGAACCACCTCCCCGTTGTTGAGCAGTCCATCACTACCCCCGTTGGACGGTCCTACCTTGGTGTCAAATTCGAGGGAAAGATCTGCGGTGTGTCTATTATGCGCGCAGGCGAAGCCATGGAACAAGGATTGCGCGACTGCTGCCGATCTGTTCGCATTGGAAAAATTCTCATCCAGCGCGACGAGGAGACCTGTATGCCCAAACTGTTTTACGATAAGCTCCCTACTGACATTGCTGATCGATGGGTCCTTCTCCTTGACCCCATGTTTGCAACTGGTGAGTTGAGCTTGTTTTACAATGCCCCTGGCCTCCCAGCTGATTTTTTTTTTCTTAGGTGGGTCTGCAACTTTGGCTGTCGAGACTCTGATTGAGAGAGGCGTTCCTGAACACCGGATCCTATTCCTCAACCTCATTGCCAGTCCATCTGGTGTTGCTGAGTTTGCGGAGAAATTCCCTAAGCTCCGGGTCGTGACTTCTTTCATTGATCAAGGATTGGATGAGAAGAAGTGAGAATATCGCACCCTTTGGATGTTGTGATTGCCATGCTGACTGATTGATAGGTATATTATCCCTGGCCTGGGAGATTTTGGCGACAGATATTACTCTATGTAAAAGCGCTGTCTTCTACCACGTTGAAAAGAACATCAGTGGTTAAGGGTCATCTGGAAATTCTGAGCAATTCAGTATTCCATTATCCATCCATTGCTGGGTCTGTTCCAGATGCCATAAGGCACCTCCACCCCGCCATACAAGTCGCCTATTCAGAGTTGACTCGATGGCCGGTAGTGGAGGTATAGGTCTAGATGGGTGAGACACTTCTTGGAGTTTGGGATATATGATAAGCATATGCAACAAGAATATGCAGCAATAATATCAAATGCCATGTACATACAAGAATCTCACAACTTGATTATTGTTGATTGCCTTAATGCGCCGTTCGCCGTCATCCCATGATCAGTAGTCATCATCATAGCCATCGCCCTGCCCAGTCTCTTCTGGAATACCCTGCTTGCTGATCCCTCTCTGTCCTAACTGGCTCGGGTTCGGTGCGTCATATTGGTTGGCAGTGTCCTTCGCGACTGCATCACATGCATCTACCCAGTCCGAATATACATCCACGGGGGCAGAAAGATCTTCGAAGAGTTGTGTGTAAGTTAAAACGGTTGGGCCAACGCCTTGGAGTGATTATCAACTCACAATTTATACCAGTTTGGAACTTCTGGCCACAAACTTTGCATGAAAGATCGCCTAGGCCAAGCTTCTTGTCTAGCTTGACGACCACAGAGTTCTCATGGTTGCAAAAAAGACAGGAAAATGTGGTAGCAAGAGGTTCCCTCTGTTGCATGGTCAGTACCGGGTGCAAAGACTTGGCGATTCGTGATTCATTTACCTTTCGGGGCCCTTGTGGCTTCGAGCTTGACTTCTTGCGCTTGCCCTGTAGAAATTAACATCTATTCACGGTCGGGATGGTAGGGACAACCGGGTAGGGAGAAAGTGATAGCACATACCATGCTTAATTTTACCTGCGACACAGGATTTGGAATGGAAGAAAGGATGAGAGGAAAGGTGAAGCAATGAGGAGTGTTGACTTGCTCGGAGAGTAGGAGGCCCACGGTATGGATGCCAAGGCGAATTGCTTAATTGGGAATCGGAACAATAAGCCTCCAGTTTCCGATAAGTGATGTCAGTTGGTGGCGATTCCCACAGCGATCTACATTGTACAATACTACTTTGTACACTAGAATGTTGTATGGAAAGGGTCTATATCGTGCTGATCTGAAACTTCGGAGGAGGTTCAGTAATGTGGGTTGAGGAAAGAGTATTTATTGACTTTGATAGCAAGTTAATAACCAAATCTGATAGAAGTACATATGTACTCCGTAGGAAATATACATATATTACAATGAACAGCTTCACACCAATAAGCGTAGGGCTATTATAGTAACGACCAACCATTAGTTACTACTACTAGTACTAGGAATTAATACAAAAAGTACGGATCTGATGCTGGACTGTATGATGATGACATAATTGGATGACATAATGATGCTCCAGTGCCCGCAGGTGGACCTTTTTTAAATGTTCGATCACATGACTTTAATGGATGACATAATCAGCTAGGGCCCGCGCACTCGCTTAGCCGAGTTTTCTGTGGGTTTTCAACCCTCCCAGTCGAGTGTCGAAACCCTCTGAGCGCGCGGTGCGATACCTTTGTCTGTCTTCCAACAACACACAGATACACTCGCAATCATGGCTGTTGGAAAGTAAGCGCCCTATTCCTCATCAATTTCCTGCTTTCCATCTATCGAATTACTTGCGCATCTACGACCTCCATTGAATTCGCGAACGCACGGCTAATCCTCATCGTTCAGGAACAAGCGCCTATCTAAGGGTAAGAAGGGTATCAAGAAGCGCACAGTCGACCCCTTCACTCGCAAGGATGAGTACTCTGTGAAGGTGTGTTCTATTCCTCTCACCATCCCCTTTGCACAATGCTAATCCTCTCGACCAGGCTCCTTCCACCTTCCAGACCCGCGAGTATGCACACCACCCGAATCGAACATGGCGAATTTTGAGTTGGATTGGCTAACGGAATTATCAGTGTCGGTAAGACTCTGGTCAACCGCACCAGCGGTCTGAAGAACGCCAACGACTCCCTCAAGGGCCGTATCTTCGAGGTCTCCCTCGCCGACCTCCAGAACGATGAGGACCACGCCTTCCGCAAGGTCAAGCTCCGCGTCGACGAGATCCAGGGCAAGAACTGCCTGACCAACTTCCACGGTCTCGACTTCACCACCGACAAGCTCCGTTCTCTTGTCCGCAAGTGGCAGACTCTGATTGAGGCCAACATCACCGTGAAGACCACTGACGACTACCTCCTCCGCCTGTTCGCCATTGCCTTCACCAAGAGACGCCCCAACCAGATCAAGAAGACCACCTACGCCGCTTCTTCCCAGATCCGCGCCATTCGCAAGAAGATGGTCGAGATCATCCAGCGCGAGGCTTCCACCTGCACTCTTTCTCAGCTCACCCACAAGCTCATCCCCGAGGTTATTGGACGTGAGATCGAGAAGTCCACCCAGGGCATCTACCCCCTCCAGAATGTTCGTTTTCATCCCCCAGGATTGGAGAATTGCACATACATACGGATTGCTAACATATCTGTCTGCAGGTCCACATTCGCAAGGTTAAGCTCCTCAAGTCGCCCAAGTTCGACCTCGGTGCTCTCCTCGCTCTCCACGGAGAGTCCGCAACTGATGACAAGGGCCAGAAGGTTGAGCGTGAGTTCAAGGAGACCGTTCTCGAGAATGTTTAAAGGTTATGTCAATGAAGTGGTGTCACGTACTGGTCAGCCGGGGCAAATCATTGTCTTCTGGTCATAAGAAAAGAAAAAAGTTCAAACGTGTATGACAGATTCAAACTGGCGTGGAACTTTTAGCTACGCGTTACCAGTCTTAGACATGATCCCAAAAATTCAAGGGTAGTAGTTCTTTCATGTTCAATCCTCCTCAGCCTGCTATTGTGTAGGCAAGATGCATTGTGTAGGCCCACCCCTGCTTATTCGGGAGCGTCATGCTTAATCCAACTAGATGTGCCATTATTATCTGCTTAGTCTGCTCCATTCGACCCGTAATACATTCGATTCATCTTTTGTGAAACAATTCTAGCCCACAAGTTCTAGCCCCATCATTGGTCCAATCTCAGTCTTTCAAACGAAGGATCACCCTTGTAGTTCTATATGCTTACGTCCCAATGTTCTGATAGAGATGGATATACTATAGAACGCACTGTCGTCTATCATCGGGCATCGTTTAAGGTCTTAGGTCTAAGGCCTTAAAAGAACAAAAAGAACAAATTACTAAAGTGGATGTGGCATTAAAGATATTCATTGGTGGTCTTAGACCACAATGACTGCATGTAGATACGTTTGATAGGACGAGTGCGTCCTACGTTGCTCCGCTCTCTCACTCTTCTAAGCCGTGAAATTCCCCGCTAGACTCGAAGAAACTTAGCCCCGGGGGGTCTTATATTGAGGTCATTCCTGGGGAGTCAAACACAGCCCCGAAAAAATTAATAATTACAGCCCTGGAGGGCTGTAGTTAGTCAGTCTTCTTTACCTAATAATTGTTGCTGAGTGCAACCACTTGCATATAGCAGTGATGGGTTTGTTGAGTACAATCATGCACTATTTCTGAAAATATCCCTCAATCTCCGGCATTTTTTTTCCTAATTTTGAGGCTCTTCCTCGGCCTTGGGGGATGAGTTAAGTGGTTTAAGCCCCCGGGGTTAGACAATTGGGGAGCGCGGATATCCATGCTAACAAGGATGCTCTTGTTTGGTAGGATACCCTTCTGGGCTTGTCAAAAAATGGGGAGGAAATCGCCTAGGTACAGGAACCGGCATAAGAAGGGAGGTCAGGATTTCGGATAGCTCGCTTCTATTCAAAATTTGTTTCCTCGTAGTTTTATCAGTATATCAATGCTTGTCACTGGCCTGAAGAGGCAAAAGCTTCATTCAGTGAGAATCGTGAGTTATTTACACAAGCACTTTTACGGCCCTGAGGGGATGCATATGTATCTAGATATAATCTGGTACTAGATGAAAAGAATGAACACAATGCTAAGAGATTCAAATTATCAGCCAGCTTACATTACGTGTGAAGATCTACCCATATTACGCACAATACATCGTAATTCATACATGGACAATATATATTCGGTAAATTCCAGCGGACAAACCCATCATATAGGCGGGAAATGAAGACATAAATAGCTTTTTTCAGGCTAAGCAACCGTTTATTATGTTTAATTGTTAGTTATTTCATACTTTTTTCCGAATTGACAACCCTCAAAGTGCATATATAGAAAATATATGGCATTGGTTCCATAACTCCTCGAGGCAATCCCTCTCGACTGTTGATAATCCCCAAAGAACAAAAGATGCATAAGTCTTCTTTCATCAAATAGTGTTATTATATCACTAAGATGTTTATATTCATGAAGCTGTAGGAAATAAGGTTAGAGCTCCCTATTAGTCCAACCCCCGCACTCTCAAGGGGGTATGAGGTCACGAGTCCTACGCCCCCCTCTTGATTGCATGATATTCCATCTCTCCTGTTGTTTTCCTTTTTCCTCTTTCCCATCTCTCCTCGAGAAACAATTCTTCATATTCCATCAAATCCAACATCCACATTGACATCAGTAAGCACCCATCCCGGGTATACTTCATTGGCATCAAACCATATATATATACTTGCCATCTCAACCCTATAGCCATCCTACTAACACAACAAACCAACCAACAGTGACTCGTTCACACAAATCCAACGACCGTGAGCACCAGGCCGAAGGCGTGACCGGTACCCGTGACAATATACCACGCTACTTTGCAAAGTCCGGTCCAACTGACGCTGATCCTCGCAAGACAAAGAAGGACGGAGGTGGCAAAGGCAATTGGTAATCAAAGCATGCCAGAATCATATGTGTTCATCTGGCTAATGCTTGCACTGCCACAGGGGCCGATCGGGTGACGAAATGCAGGACACTGACTACTCCTTCGCCAATGCTAGGCGTCATTCCAACAGTAGCACCCAGGGTCTAGCCGACTTCAATACCAAGTTCGAGGCTTTTGAACCAGAGCCTGTCTTTGAGGAAGAGGACATTGGTGACATGGCTGTTGGAAATGGTAATGCCGTGACCAAGGTCGAAAGTGCCAGTAGCAATGGTAGCGCGGCTGATCGTGATGGAAGAAAGTATTAGGCTATCGCTGTGGCGACTCGATCTCTCCAACCTCTGAATGCCAAGTAGGTCAGAACATGAACAAGGTAACTCCAGGGACAATGAATCAGTGACCTGGGGATCCAATATATTTTATATTTATTGTATGAGAATATGAAAAAAACAAGAACAATCTGAATCAGCATATCATCCATGTTTCTCTGTAAGAATGAGGGGGGTATGTGATCAAATACAACGTAGCTTTGGAGTTTACTTTAGGCCTGAACAATACAACATTGAAATATCTCTTGAGATTTCATACATACAACGTATTATGACCCATTGGGCCACTGCATAACCGAGTAACAAAATTGAAAACGCCGCCATTTCAACCCCAACCCATATCGTTTGCTCCAGCAACTTCACCGTTATAGGTGGTCTATTCGGGGGGCGATATGTGGACCTCCGCAGTTTCCCGGAGGTTTTGGAACCAGAAATCAAGTTTTCCGACTTCAATGCATTGGCGCAAAATATCATTTTCGGTCTCAAGGTCGGCCGCCACACGAGGTTTTTGCTCTGGGCGGAATCGCGAAACAAGAATATCGGAATCGGAATCGGTCATCAGAGCCTCTGCAGGCGAGAGAGGCACGTAGACAGAGTGCAGACCAGTATTACGAGGTTCTAAACATACCATTTTGGTTAGATCTATAGTCCAAGTGTTTATGTTGGGAACAAACTCACCTCCCAAGCATGCAGTTAATGATCGGTAGAGCGCCGTGTCGGCGACTGTGTTGTGTGCATTGCCATTGGGCCCCTCAGCAGCTTTCCCCCGAGCTACCCAATCATCTTTGATCAAGCATCGTCGCCAGATCAACCTCTGCAAAGGCATGAGGTAGGATGGGTCTCGCTGGCCATAGCGTCCATAATCAAGAACCTGCAACGCGAGATGGAATTCGCTCCGTACAAACTCGCTCTCTCCATTATCTGCGAGTTGACCAGGGCCCATCAACGTCAAGATATCAATTAAACCATCGGCACCGACGACTTGTCTGTCGATCAAGGTAGAGAGAGCATCGCTCAAAATTTCATGGAGCGATGGCCGATCTTCGAAGATATGATCTCCATACTGACCGAGTGCTAGTTCAAGTTCTGCCTTTTGGTCAATAGCACCCTGCAGGATAGGCTCAATGTGCGCATAGAGAATATCTTGGATCCCATCAACTTCAACGTAATCATCAAGACGTTTCACATCCTCTTGCAAAGTAGAAGCCGCAACGGAAGAATCCATTCGCTCCTGCGTCGCTAGTTTGCCTAGCTTGGCTAGCGAGATCTCCACACGGTGGCTCCACAAGTCTTTTTCACCAAGTGCTAGATTCTCCAATGAGGCTGCGGCAGTGTCATAGTCGTCTTCACCGGTGACATCGTTAATCCAGCTTAGGCGAGCATATGCGGGGTTGCTTCGAAGGTATCGAGTGATAGCAGGTTGGTATTGTCGCATCGTAAACAGTGTTCCTGGATAACCCATCGCGATTTGCCGGGAGAAGTATGCATCAGCCCAGTCGTCGCCAAACTTGTCGAAATACTTGGCGATCAATTGGTCGGCATCGACCTCGGGTTGATTCATGACATCACTCGAAGGTTCTGTACGCGGGTGCTGACTTGCCTTTTGGTCTTGAAGCTCGATGATCAACTCAACCAACGCTCCCATGTCTCGGAAGCTTTCTGCTAACTCGACAGCATCGGCAAGGTGGTCGATACCAGCCAACTTGAAGAGTTGCCATTTGCGGTCTATAACATGAGTCCGCTCAATCGAGACACTCTCATCCGTTAATTTGGTATCTCCTTGCGCAGAAAGCCATCGAGTTCGTTCAAGATGCATTTGACCGAGCACGCGAAGGTGTCGAGAGCTGTTTTTCGCAACTTGATTTAAAACATGCGTGTCAGGGGCATCGGCAGCCGATGCGGGTGTTTTCCATGACCGGCAACTATCCAATTCCAAATCGAGTAAACGCCCTGCTTCAGAATAACCAACGCCCCTTGATGTCCAGAACTCGGGAAGATCTTCGTATCCATCGGAAAGCACGCCATCCTCTAGGAAATCTTCACGAAGACCATAAAGTACAACGTGCTCATCGCGATACCGGAAAGCAGTTTCGGTGACCGCCAAAAACAGCTCACTGGCCGCCAGGATCTTCTCTGACAATGCGCGCACAGGATTGGAAGTGTTGCCCCGACCGAGCTTGATTGCGTTCTTGATCCATGGGATGATATGCTCCATGCGGTAAGAATCTCTCAAGAACCATTGACGAACTGGATCGGTCTCTCCGTGTTGCGGGTTGATTGGAGTTTTGAACTTATCGTGCATGGATCCAATGAGAAGACCGAGGAAAGGCTCCTCGTCTCCATTTTTGTTCTTGTATGCCTCCTGAATCTTCCACATAGCTCTTTGTGCAGCAATTTTTTCTGCAGCCCACAACAACTCCCACCTTGCTGGTCGACTCAAAGGGTTGCCGTTGCGTAACAACAATGAGGCAAGATCATCTAGCGCCTTTGCTCTCAACCGGAGATTCTGCTCTAGTGAAATAGCAGTGGTGGGAATGAAGCGAGTTTCGGACTGGAGTAGCTCGCTGCAGATTTCCAAAGATGCTTGCTCCATTTCTGATGGAGGGAAATTCAAGTCGCCTTCGCTGGATAAATTCAACGGATTCTTTGTCATAGTCCCAAAGAAAACGGCCTGCTCAAGCTTGTGCTTCGCTGTGACTTGAGGCTCGTCAACATCTTGTTCTGTTCCAGGACGAGGAAGCACCGTCACGCGAACAACGCCGAAATTCCGAAGCATAAGCACACATGCTGCGTGAGGTGAAGTATTCGATTGGTCCTCTGAGATGGACCCTAGTATTTCGTAGTCTGCGCCAGAGCGCAAGTGAATGATATCTTGGAAAGGTAGAGGCAACTTGTTGGAATCAAGGAGCAGTTGTGAGGATGGACTCTCTTCGATATTTGTCAATGACAAGATAACAAGAGACTGACCAATAAGGATGAAAGCTGTTTCTTCTGGTTTTGGCACAAATATCTTGGGTTTCGAGGTTTCGAGCAGGGAGACGGGAATATGTCGAAGATCCACGGCATGCATTGAGATAACACGAGCCTCATTTCCTGACAAGTGAACCTGAATCACGAATAGCTCCCTGGTTTCTAACCACTGAGGCGACCTGACAACCACAAAGAGGCGCCAGGAGGCATCTGAAATTTGAACAGCATCATCGGAAGACTGCAGGGCAGAGAACGCAAAGTCCACGACTTTGAGCTCTATATCATTTGTCAAGTTCGTGTGATGTTCAGGGAGGGCCGCCAGAATTTCATCCTTGATATCATATCGTTTTTTGAGGGTGTTCCCGTGGTTCCAATGCGTGTCCCATATTTCAACCAATCCAGTTGAAGTTGCAATAATAACATCTCGCTGGCCGCGTTGGTGGGAACCACCGGCCCGAACGGCAGTGACCTCTTTTCTCCAGGACCCGCCTGCGAAGACGTTCTTGATACCCCCGAAAATTCCACCGCCAGTCCCTGTAGTGCTTCTGAGGAAATTCACGACCACTGAAGGCTTTCCCTGGGGGTCCCTCAGGGTGATGTGTGCTACCCGTCCAGAAGAGAATGTAACGATGATTCCCGACGGCTCCCCATTGAGTATTTCTGTGGCATACTCACCGGAAAGCATGCCAGGGGTGGATCCTTGGATGCCATTCTGCTTTTGTCGGGATAGACCTAGTGATGCGGCACTGGATACAGTCTCCCAGTAAATGACCTTTCCCGTAGAAGGGATTATCACTAAGAGGCCGGGGTGGTCTCCTGTAGCCGTGGATAATAGAACTCCGAGTGGGACGGTGCCTTTGGGATCTCTGCAAGTCTCCGGAATCGATACCGTGAAGGTCTCCGACGGAGACGGGGACGAAGCGGGTGCAGAATATGGCCATACAATGGCATGTGAGCGAGTCAAAGCTAGTGCGTACTCATGACCAGGTCCGAAAAAGCACCTGAGGGGTTCTGCATTCAAAGGGTGAGTGTCAACAAACCGCAACCCAAGGCGAGTAAATGCTATAGAATTCGAGATACCTGATTGTAAGCCACGAATTTGATCTGGCAGAGATGGCAGTTGATCAACAGTGTAAAAATCGGTGCTTGACTTTGAACACAGCAAGTTAGCACTTTAGACTTGAGGGTTTGACGGCACGCGCAAAGATATGAAAGTGACCCACTAGAACGATTGTCCCCTCATTGTTGTTTCCAGATCCATCGCCTTGCTTCACAGCACGGGTTGATAGATGCAACTCGGTGTTCATCTGATCCGTAGGGGTAATGTCACCGCCTGGCGCAGTGGGTGTTGCTAATTTTGCGAGCTCACGCCCCAGGTTGGTATCGGAAGGGGATTCGTCTGCGCGCCGCAGGACAGAGCGCTGTCGCTTGGCCTTCGGTGGTTTGACAGAGTCATCTGAGCTTGTTCGCTGTCGTCGACGAGTATTGCGACCACTAGCTTTAGGGACGAACATTTTCAATATGTACGCAACCCGTAGTCGCGAACACACGCTAGCCGGCGAAAGCTTCGAAGATTGTTGACCCTTGGGGGTCCGATTCACGCTTCAAGGTTGATGAAAGTCGGAGAGTAGAAAAAGAGAAGGTTCAAAGAAGAAGAAAGCTCTCCCAAGAAGATGCGCTTGAATTGGAGGGTGATAACAGCGATACGGTTGGTCAATAACAATCGAGGATGTTTGTCCGAAGGCGGTGAGATAATATCCTATTGTACAGATCAGTACAATCCATGTGTAAGTTACATGTTCTATTACAATATGTACATTCAATGTTACTCTATATGTGTGTACCTTGTGGATAGTATTCACAATCCAAATATATTATAAAATCAAATCTCGTAAACGAACAACAATTTTAGTTGACTCCAGAATAATCTTTTATATGAATTGAGCCTACCTCCGCTGCTTATTCAAATGTGGGGCCCTGCATACTTGGGTAATCAGCGGTATTGAGCAAATACCATTAATACAGAGTACACCAATCTCAATTAGGTACTATGTATACCCGTGGACGGCCATGGATATTTTAGGTATGAGGCTAAAGAACGTAAGCATGTATATATTATTGATTGCTCTTAGATACAAAAATAGAATCGGCATAACAGATAAGAGCTGTTTCAGCTTTGCTATAGGTAGGTAAATAATTGATAGTCATCTGTGGAAAATCTTCCGTCTTCCGAGGTTTCCATAGCCGATTACCCCGAAAATAGGAGCTCACGTGAATTTCGCATATAACCCCACACGGAGTGCACTGCTCCTTTGATAAACACCAACATGGACTGAAGAACAACACTCCCTCGCTCTATGGGATAGCGTATCTCACCCTTGCGACTACGAGATAGCAACCATGCTCATATGCTGTATTGATACGGTCAAGATCAAGGCCCCAAGGGTTACTTAGGGCTGCAACTATAGAGAAAATGCTCTCACGCTTGTCGCATCCCAGAGGTCGCCTCCGACTAAGATTCATTGTGCATGTCGCATCGCAAGTTTTGGCTACACCTTCGAGACTGTCACACCTTAATGTCCTGCCCTTCAGACGAGACCTACATACAGCTCTCTTTTTCCCAGGTGTGTACCGCCCTCAGCCCCCTTTTACCTCCCAACCCCAAATGGCCTCTAATACACAAGATAGGGCATGGAGTCCAAAGGGTTGGCATGGCCAACACCTGGATTGAAAGCTTCCCCCATACTGCGGCTAAGGTTTTAGACGAGATGGATAATACCCTCGGGTTCAAATTGTCCAGCATTATATCCGATGGCCCCAACTCCAAGCTCAACAAAACGGAAATTTCACAGCCTGCAGTCATGGCAATATCAGTCTTGATACTTCGTATCCTGGAGCAGGAATTCGGATTCGATACTAAATCTCGGGTCGATGTTACACTTGGACATAGCCTTGGGGAGTTCTCTGCATTGGTTGCTGGAGGCTATCTTGAATTTGGGGACGCTTTACGATTAGTCCGTGGCCGGGCTGAAATTATGGCCCAGTGTACGCGCCAGTTGACCGAGCAATCAGGGGAAACATATGGCATGGTTGCACTTCTCTGTGAACCTGAGCACCTGGAAGGTTTGCTTCGAACAGTTCAGGAATTCACTGGCCTCGAAGCACCGGGTATTGAAATTGACAGAGATAATCGAGTCCCGTCAATTCAACAAGTGGTGGTCGCAAACATCAACTCGAAAAATCAAATCGTGCTGAGTGGTAGTCTTGACCGAATCAAAATGCTTTTGGTCCAAATACGTCAATTTGGAGGTCACGACCCACGGGCTGTCAGATTGAAAAGTGACAGCCCGTTTCATAGCCCTGCTATGGCGCTAGCTGCGGATTATATGAGAAATGCCCTGGATAAAATCAACATCACATTCCCGGTATCAGTTCCATGCATATCAAATGTTTCTGCCTTGCCTTTCCAGTCGAAGGGAGACATCAAGGATCTTCTTTCTAGACAGTGCACTGATACAGTCAGATGGTGGGATAGCATTCGCTATCTTCATCAGGAACGAGGCGTGAGGCGGTGGATTGGAATTGGACCAGGAAAGGTCGGCAGGAATTTGGTTGGCAAAGAGGTTGGGAGAGTTGACACCAAAGGTGGTGGGGTGTGGGCTGTTTGCAATCCTCGTGAAATGTCAGAGATTATGGTTGCCCTGGAGCAGACTGAAGTCGAAACTGAAGACTGATAACAAAAGGATCATCTTTTACTGTCTGTTTTATTATATTCACTTGTACACTGTATGAATTGGGAAGGCAAAGTAGCTTAATAACTAAAGAAATAACCTTCATGTATGTATGGCTATTGTCTAAACAGTTTGGTGGGATTGCTGCAGTTTAATGTGAATATAAGCTGGGGAAACTGGTTGATCTAGCGTATTTGTACCCTTGAGATCTGTCATCAGTATTCTCCTTACAGAGAAGTACCTGGAGCCCACGAATCCCCGATACGTTTAACATCCGCAACGAACTTTAGGTTAGAGATTGGCTGGCAAGCAGACAAAGAAGAAGCTGTATTCCCGGGAATCGGTACGTGGTCGTCGGGGGAATAGAATGGATTCTGCAAAAGCTGAATATACGCACTCTGTAACGCGCGGAATGCCTGTATTCAACGATTAGAGGAGGCTCTTTCAGGGGGGAAAAGGCATTCGCCGAGCATAGAGGAAGAACATACCGGCTTTACATCAGAATCTCTCAGGCCATTAATTGCAGCGCCTGCTTGCTTTCCAGCGCTGGCTTCTTCCTGGCCGAATAAATCCACGATGATCAATAGTTTTACTCCCGTGGTCGTCAACCATCCATAGGCCGCGAGCCGTTCGTCAATTGCATGTAACAGGCCTAGATCCTGATCAATGGACGTTTGTTTGCACCGGATGTCGAAAATATCGAGGCAGGAGTTCAGTAAGAAGGAGAATTCGATAGTGGAATCTGAATACGGGGGAAACAGGGAAATGTGAAGAGGGTTATCCTGCAATCGAATTAGTCTGAGCAATTCGAGAAGCATAGCAATACATACTGCCTTCCCAATCACCCCAATGCAGGCAATTTTGGGACCCGTCATTTTTGAGATAGCTCTTGAAGTGGGACTGTCTCTGGACTGGGCGCAATCACTCGGGCTCTTGGAGTTTAGGGACTGATTCCCTTGTCTCGACACCGTGATCGGGTGAGAGTTCTAATCTGGGTAGGTATTATCTCTCCATATCATGTCCACAATGCTCTGTAATTGAGCAGCCCTTTCAAGGGACGGTTACTTTGCAATCAAAGTGTAGACAGTAGTGGAGTGGTTGTCCCCAATCCCCCCGCGGCATAACGTATGGAGAAGACGTGTCCAGGCATCAAGGCAGCAAAATGAGCTAAGAGCCAATGACCACACAGGCAATTGGATTTACGAGCATCTCACCGCTTTTACCATACCAGGTTCGGTGACTGAAAAATACAGCCTCTGAGCCAATGATATGTGAGATAATAGCTTACATCATCTCTGTCAAACCGTCGGTGTACATCATCTTCTTCCACTCTGGATCGGAACCTTTTTGGGGTTCTCCTTGTCTTGCAGTTACCGGAGCCCGCCACCTCATATTATCTGTCGTCACCGGCCGAGGCTGCAATTACCTCGTCTCTTTAACCTCCGGGATCACGAATTTTTTATTCCACTTGTTCCTCCCCACCCGAGAGACTTTTCTCAAGATGCTTCCGATGGCGAGGCCCGCCATCTCTGGCGCTCTGTGCGGTAGGCATCTTCTTCACCTCGCCGACGATGTCAATTCACTAACAGAAAACAGCTGCGCGACCCCGTTTCGTTGCCTCTCTCCCGCGTGCCCAACCCATGGCGGCCCTCTCGACTTCGTCAGTCAAATCAGCGACAGCGCTCGAGCGTCAACCATCAGCAAGCGCCCAGCAATTGACCGCATCTGGCAAAGTTCGCCGAGAGGTGCCTTTGCCTAGTCAGGAGAAGAAGGAGGGTGCTATGCAATATGCCTTGTTCGTTTGCTCTCTACAAATTTCATCTTATATGCGCCTTGGACTTCCGCTGACCATATATTACCCAGGACCACCCTCGATCAGATTGCCAATTGGGGTCGTCAAAGCTCTCTGTGGCCCATGACCTTCGGTCTTGCATGCTGCGCCGTAGAGATGATGCACCTTTCTACCCCCCGTTACGATCAGGATCGTCTTGGAATCATTTTCCGTGCTTCTCCGCGTCAGTCCGATGTTATGATTGTTGCCGGTACATTGACGAACAAGATGGCCCCCGCTCTCCGCCAGGTTTATGATCAAATGCCCGACCCCCGGTGGGTTATCAGCATGGGCAGTTGTGCCAACGGTGGTGGCTATTACCACTACAGTTACTCGGTCGTTCGCGGCTGTGACCGGGTTGTGCCGGTCGATATCTACGTGCCTGGATGTAAGCATTTCCTTTTTCCTCGCGCTTGTACTGTTGCAATTGACTAACAAAAACTAAGGCCCACCCACTTCCGAGGCATTGATGTACGGTATCTTCCAGCTGCAGAAGAAGATGAGACACACCAGAATCACACGCATGTGGTACCGCCGTTAGTCTCTAAACCCAATGATATGGTGGACTGTTTTTTCTTGCCTCAGTCATAGTGCATGGTAAACTTAAGTGACTCAACCTGACCGCCGTGGAGTTTTTATGTGTCTTTTTACTTTGTATATCAATGTCAGGCTTCAGGGTCTGATATTTTGTTTTTACTCTCACTTTTATTGGTCTGTTTCCCCTTTTTTTGCCTGTCAGAATATCCATTCAGAATATCTACCAAAAGAATTCAAATGTTTCACATACTGGCTCTAATAAACTTAACTTGTACATATTTTCCATATGTCTCTCTATGTATCGGATCCTAGGCGGCGGCTCGAGAGTATTCTATCTACCAAGAAAGCCTTGCCTCCCCCTTATGATGTATTGACCTGTGATGAGAAATTTATGGAACAAAAGTTCCTCCTCCGTGGTGATCCCTGGTTATACATGAAAACCTCATCTATCTGTGCGGTTTACCTGTGGGCTCTTTCCCCCGCCTTTTTGTGTTGTCTAGCTATAAAACTGAGAAGGGGGAAATATCCAACTAATAAAAAGACATCCGACAAGACTACCAAAAAAGTTTTCACGGGACCGCATAAGTGGCCTACTATTTTTTGTGAGGCATGAATTGATACGGAGGCAAGAGCACAGATTGAGAATAAGAGTACAATCCTGGGAACAAATACGAACATTGGCGTATTTTTATCTACATAATTGTCTAATTGATTAGATCTAACAAGAAATTCAAACTACTGTCGACTGTTACCATCCAAACTTCGTGCTCATACGACCTTGGAATCGCAGACCGTAATATTGTGCACTTGAGCATTATTTACCAACACTTTGTATTCCCAGCTTATAAGTATAGACACGAATATACCATAGCCTAAATGTGACACTCGCCTCAAGTGTGACATTATACGCAAAGCCACCGGAGTTCGACTGCCTCGGCTCCCCACCCGCATCAAAAGTTCCATTTTGTAGCAGCTGTATGGCTTGGGCCTCACTCCAGTCAGGCATGCGAGGATCAACCCAGGCCACATTTTGCCCATATTGCTTTATGTACGAGATGGTGGATTTTTCATAATCATAATCAAAAAGAATTTGATTCGATACCAGTTGATCACGAATGTGTTGACGAGCAAGGGTCTCCGCTGCCGGAAGCCCTTCATCAATCACGTATATAATGTTCTCAAAAGTAGTCGTGACGATCCGACTTCCTCTTGTCGCTCCTGTGATGAAGAATAGCCTCCTACCAGGGTGGGTCACTATGGTGGATGTGATGGATGAGAGTGGCCGTTTTCCAGGCCGGATGTAGTTGGAGGGCTAGAATGTATACAAAGGTGTTAGAGAAGCCGGAGATGGGGAATTCTAAGAAATGAGTGTTAACTTTGTGTACAGAGTAGGAAGCAGTAATTAGAGGCCCACCGTTCATCTCGTTGCTCAATATTATCCCTGTTTCTGGCATCATCATCAACTGGCTTCCAAAAGTCAATTGATCGTAGCGGTGATAGAGATAGCCAATCCTTAGTGACCAGCTGCAGTCATGTAAAATGTTCCCGGACTTAACCATGTCAGCAACGCTTCCAACAAAATCTATCCGGAGAATAAGTAAGCTTACGTATCAAAGCTCTCAATCCCTTTGAGATTATATGAATGCACTTTTAGAGTATGGAAATCTGAGATCTTCCCATAAATTAAATCTACGGTGGACTGCTTCAACATGTCTTGGTACTGGCTCATTCCTTCAACAAGGAGAGGATCGCCCAGGTAGGCTGACTATCACTAGTCAGCCAAGCGGATTAGAATACAAACATCCATAGGTATAACATCCACATACCTCTCTATAATCCAATCGAATTGCTTCATCCATTCTATGAAAGTCAAGGTTCAAATTATGGAGGGCGAGGAAGTTATCATAAGTGCTCAATATTTTTAGAATATTCATAGCGACAATTCCACTAGATGGAACCATTGTACTGCTAGCCTTAAAGTCGCGGTAGTCAATTTGTGAAATATTCCGGATATTCACTAAATAGCTTCCCAAATAATGTAGCATTATGGTCCCATTTGCAGCCTAGATAGTGTTGATCATAATACATTGCAATAAGACCGGTATAGAAAGCATCTAGTCCTTGATCAGCTATAGCCTCAAGCGTGTCTGCGTATTATTTTCTGGTCACATTATCTCTCAACCGAGGTGAGTCCCATAACAAGCGAAATCCAGTGCCCGTGTTGGGTTCTCAGCCACGAAGTCTTCACCAGCCCCAACCATGGAAGAACACCATAGTTCTTGTGGAGATATTCCAATCCACTAATATCGCCAGCAATGCCACTTAGATTACTACATTAGTTTTCATTGGGCAGCAAGTGATCTGTGTCCGCTTCGTACCCTGCTAAGCCGCCGTAGATTATGCATTCGTATCATGATTGTACATGTCCTCAAAGGCGGCAGCTGGGGTGGTTTCGCGGAAGTCGATGAATCCAAACTTTCCACCGGGTGCCCGAACCAGCATGAACCCCTTCGTCTGGTACTACTATGATATATCCCGGCTTGTTATTAGCTAGACGAGACTCATTGTGTGTCCTCAATTATGCCCTACCGGTAACTCTGATACAGACTGTAGTTATGTTACCAACTAGAATTAT